GGAGGAACAAGAGCGCCGCCAGGAACTCGAGGAAGAGCTGAGACGCCAGGAACGTGGCAGGAAATTCCACGAGGAAGAAGAGCGCCGCCAGGAACGTGGCAGGAAATTCCAGGAGGAAGAAGAGCGCCGCCAGGAACTTGAAGAGGAGCTGAGGCGCCAGGAACGTGGCAGAAAATTCCACGAGGAAGAAGAGCGCCACCAGGAACTGGAGGAAGAGCCGCTGAGACGCCAGGAACGTGGCAGGAAATTCCACGAGGAAGAAGAGCGCCGCCAGGAACTTGAAGAGGAGCTGAGGCGCCAGGAACGTGGCAGAAAATTCCACGAGGAACAAGATCGCCGCCAGGAACTTGAAGAGCAGCTGAGACGCCAGGAACGCGCCAGGAAATTCCATGAGGAAGAAGAGCGCCGCCAGGAGCGAGACCGAAGATTCCGTGGGGAACCAGAGCTCCGGAAAGAAAGGGAGGAGCAACAGCTTTGCCAAGAGCGTGACAGGAAATTCCAGGAGGAGAAGCAGCTGCGCCAGGAACGTGAGGAACTGCAGTTGCGGAGGCAGAAACGAGATGGTCAGTACCTAGCTGAGGATCAGTTTGCCAGGGATAAGATTCGTCGTCAGGAACAGGAACAGCATCAAAAAGAGGAACAACTACGTCGCCAAGAGCGGGAGAGAAAATTCAAAGAAGAGCAGATCCGTCGGCAGGCAGAGCAGAGGCGCCGCCAAATCCTGGAGAGTGGCGCACGCCAGTTTGCCAATGTCCCAGTGCGTTCCAGCCCTCTCTATGAGTACATCCAAGAGCAGAGGTCTCAATACCGCCCTTAAAGGATGCTGCCAACGTCCTGGCAGCAGCCAAATCTTTTTTTCTTTTTCAAGCAAAAGAAAATGAGAAACACTGGGTATCAAATGATAACTCATGTGTTTCTGGTTGTGGGAAAACTATATAATCTTAGAATGTCTTTTCCAGAATCTTAAACTATACCTGTTTCATTTCTTTCTACTCCTGTCTTTCATTCTGCCTCGGATCTTTATTGCAAGATGTCTTTGTTCTTTAGTGCAGATATGGTGTGCACTTTTAAAAAGAAGTCATTTAATTTTTTTAAAGGAATTTTGTTTGAGGAGCACATTGATTTATTGCCTTCATAAATAAGAATAATGTAGCAATTTGATATTCAAAATAATTGAGCCACTATTTTTAGTGGTGGATCATCTTGTTGGGAGCTCTCATTTTATAAGTTTAAGTTGGCTTTTTCTTTGGCCTAAATTTCATTTGTATTCTCCTCCAAACAGTTTTCTTGATTTTTGTTGCGTAATTTTGCCAGCCCTCAAATAATGCAGGGGAATGATTTATGCAGAAAAAATACCATGTGAAATCAGTTCATAACTGAAAGAAATATCTGTTAAGAGAAAGACTTGGACAGGAAATTAGAATTTGGCATTGTATTTTTATACTTAGCACCACTAAAAATTTCATGAAGCAAAAGCAAGGTGTTTCTCAAACAACTCAAATTTAAAACTGCTGTAATTTGTAGAGCTCTGTTCTATTTCCCCAAGTTTGGTTGGGTTTTAGAATATTATTACTTTTGTACATTTTGGTTTAGAGGGAATCTATTCAAGGCCCTGTACACATCTGTCTTGTTTGGGTCCAACAAGAGTTCAGAGTGATGGAAGAAGGAAAGGGGAAAATGTATGAACAGAGGACAAATTTCTAGAGGTCTCTAGACTTATCAGCCCACAATTATTTGAGGCTTTATACTACCTTAAAGACATTCTTGTTGAAAAAAATGGACTGTAGAAAATCAATAAATGTTTGGCAAATAATTATCCTTGTCTGTTATAATTATGTGTCTATCATAACTCATATCTAATCTGGAAGTGCATATATTTCCAATCACATAGTATTTTTACTATCAGCTATGTCCAAATATGAAAGGAGAGAGCCTTCAATTTTCCCTACAATTTTTTCCCAATTAAGGTGACTTCTATATTATTTCAGAGTAAAACTTGGACAGAAAATTAGAATTGGGCATTATATTTTTATACTTAGCACCACTTAAAGTCTCCTGAAGCAAAACAAGGTGTTTCTCAAATAACTCAAATTTAAAACTGCTGTAATTTGTAGAGTTCTATTCCATTTCTCCAAGTTTTGTTGGGTTTGAGAATATTACTATTTTTGTACATGTTTGAGTAGGGAACCTACTCAAAATCCTGTAAATACTTGTCTTGTTTTGGGGGAGGTAGGGGGGTGATAAGTATTCAATGAGAGTTGAATGAAGTTAAGGTTACCCTTATATCATTTCCAATACCACATAGACTCGCTTTCCATATGTTTTGTTCTTGATACTACCCCTTTCTGAATGCTTTCTTGCAGTGACTCACACTGGTCATGACAAATACACTGCATGCACAGAGTTTATTACTTTCCTTCTAAAATGGAGAAGCTACTTTGTGTCTAATCCAGAGATGGAACATGACCTAAATTTTTGGAGGAGCTTTATAGATAACAATTATTGATCCAGAGATTTAAGCAACATAGTCCAGGAGGTGCCTGAATCAGAAAATGTTGAATAGCAGTTCGTCTAAATGTCACATTGCCATCCCACAATGCAGACACCCCTGTGCCACCTGCTGAACTGCATTATTTAATTGAGTTACTGGGGAGAAAATTCAAAAAGACCTTATTAAGAATATTGCTGCCAGGCATTGGTGGTGCACGCCTTTAATCCCAGCACTCAGGAGTCAAAGGCAGGTGGATCTCTGAGTTTGAGACCAGCCTGGTCTACAAAGTGAGTTCCAAGAAAGCCGGGGGTACACAAAGATAGAAAAAAACATCAGAAAGAAAGGAAAATAATACCACTATTTTTTATTGTGAGAACCTTGGAAAATGCCCTAAAGCTGCAGTCAACACATTAGTCAATGGTAAAAAGCTAAGGAGGCTAAGCCTGTAGCTCCTGAGTATCATTCTGGTTGAATAAGAAGACCCTTAACTGCAAGGAGTACAGACTCTCTTACACTTTAACACAACTGGAAGATATTCCTAAAAATGGGTGAGGAGTAACTTAGTAGGAGCAGAGATTACTCAAAAGCAGCTACATCATTGAAAATCCTTTCCCCAACATGGGTAAAGATTCACAAAAGCCGCACCTCCAGAGCTCTCAACACAGCTTGCAGACAGCTTCGTGGTCTAATCATGTCTTTCTCTGCAATTCTGCTGGTCAGTGTCTTCCCCCAAAAAGTGTTCACTCCTTTTCATACTAGTGGGAAGAATATACTTCCTTTTATAGTACTGGCCCTCAAGAGTCTTCCAAGTTTTCTGTTTTCCAAGACAGGTGGAGAACATTTTTTTTTTTAACCTTCTGAGGCTCATAAGACTCTTGTTCCTTTCTGGAGGAAATGTTTCAACTCAGAGGAAAATGCCATGCAAGAGTTTAATATGAAGTAATTTAAAAAGTGGCTTTCCACTTAGGGTATATTCTCTCTCTCTCTCTCTCTCTCTCTCTCTCTCTCTCTCTCTCTCTCTCTCTCTCTCTCACACACACACACACACACACACACACACACACACACACACACTGGTTTATATGTCGAAGTCTTAACATTCAGTAACTTGAGATGTGCCCTTATTTGGAGAAGTAATTAAAGAGGTAATTAAAATGAGGTTATTAGTTTGTGTCCTAATCTGATATGGCTGCTATCTTTATAATAAAACAACTTGAACACAGACACAAACAGAAGTAGGGAGATATGAAAACACAAAGAGAAGATTGTCACCTACTAGTCAAGAAAGGTATGGAATAGATCCTTGAATAAATGTATTCAAGCCAGCAGTCTGTGGCACTTGGTTATGACATCCCCACCTAATCCATCACATAAGGTAGAGCTGTGCTCTGTTGCTAGGTAAGCCCCTGTATTACCATCTTTACCCTTAACATTGTGCAAACAGGTCTTGCTTGGTTGCTTTATTTTTTGTTTTTTCTTGCATAATCATCACAGATACCACCAGCAGGCTGAAGTTTTACAGCCTTCGAATAATGCAGGGGAGCAACATCTACAGAAAAACAAAACAAAACAAAACAAAAAAAACTCCTTATGATGTAAGTCAAGAATTGGAAGAAATATCTGTTAAGAGTAAGATTTAGCTGGAAAATTAGAATTTGGCATCATATTTTTATATTTTGCACCACTTAAAATATCATAAAGCAAAACAAAGTGTTTCTCAAACTTCAGAACTCAGACCAGTTTTATGATGACATGAAAATAATCCTGTAAGAAAACAAGAAGCTAGGGTTCATTCATTCACCATTTAGTCAATAATTGTTTATTGAGCTTGTGATCTGTGCAAAACATTTTTTCCAGGCAGTACACATGCAGGGTGAAATAGCAATTCTGGGCTCTTCTTTCACTTTCATGTCTTGAGACCTTGTGTAAGCCTCGTGGACATTCTAGGTTTCCATTGATTTATATTCCATCTATAGGCTCAAACAGCCATCCACAACGTTATCCCCAGGACTGAAGAAAATTACATTCTATTTCGAGGCGGGGCAGAAGATCATGAGCATGAGGCCAACTGAGCTACAGAATGAGATCCAAGTTAACCTAGTCTACAGAAAGAGACCCTGACTCAAAAAATAATTATTTTTAACTGGAGCACTCAACGTGTTCCACTGGGTCTCTCAAAGTGACTTAATTACTCCCACCCCCAACTCCTAAGACTAGCTAACAGAAAACAGGAGAAAGACTTAATTGACTATAGTAATCATGAGAACACATTTCAGTTTCAAACCTTATTTCCCCAGCCAAACATCCCTGAATTCCCCTCTATTTGTCTCCCCAGATACTCTCCCGAGCTCCTTCTTATCACCCAGGTTTATTGATTAAGAGAGAACATTTTAAACTGACTTCATTTTCTTTAATCCTCTTACTACCAAAGACAATGACCCTTCTGCTTTACAACCTTAGTATGTACATTTGATTATTCTCATTCTTTTCTAAGGAGAAAACTTAGTCCTAGAGTTTACTCCCATTCAAACAAAACTTCAGTAGCTGTCAGTATTCAACAGGAGGCCTGTGTCTGCTTCATCTTCTATACTAATTACACATGGCTAATATGTGCATTCAGTCTTGATAATTGTGAGGTATTTTTTCAGCTGGACCTATAATCTTCTGAAGATTATAATCTATGTAATATGTAACATATAATTAGCACATTCCCTTGTTAGTAATGAGCTGAGAGTCACATGTAGTAATCTAAAGCAAGTCCAAAAGATTCTAAGTGTTTATCATTTTTGGAACCCTCAGGCTGTTATAAAACCTTATAGAATTTAATTTTTATTACTTCTTTTTAAGAAATGTGTCACATATTCAGGAAGATACAATACAGGACTTGAGTCTTTAACTTTATGCCTGTCTGCCACAATCTAGTACCCATCACCTTCTCAACCTTGGATCTCACAGTATCTTTGGGGCCAGCTATATGCTCAGACTTAATCTTTAGGACAGCATAGATTTGCCCTTGTTTCACAGACTTAAAATAGAATTGTACCTTCATGGTATGCCTCCTCCCCTCCTGTATCCAAGGGAAATTTCAACTCAAGTTATAAGGCCTAGATAATTTCCACCTCCTCCCTAAAATCTTATTGCCTGGACACACAATATTTCTCTCCATTGAGACTCTAAGATATGTTATCTTCAGCAGGGCAAAGTGGCACATGCCTTCAATTGCAGCACTTGGGAGGCAGAGGCAGATGGATCTCTGAGTTTGCGGCCGGACTGGTCTATGGAGGGAGTTGCAGGACAGGCAGAGCTACACAATGAGACCCTGTTTTAACAAAACAAAACAAAAGAAACACACAAAAAGGTATGTTATCTTTACCAACCATTAATAGATTGCAATATTCTGCCTCAGTCAGCTTTACTTTTGTTTCTCTTCCTAATTAGATTGTTATAAGACAATAATTTGGACATTTTTTATTTTGTATGTTTTTTCCATGAACAATAAGCAACATGGCTCTATGAAGTTTTGAGGAAATGTATGGACTCTATCACTAGAAAGAAAATCATATTTAAAGCTTTAGACTGGGATTTGAGAAGTTCTTAATTATGAAAGCCTTCTTAACTTCACACACCTGGCGTAACTGGGAGAGTTGAAGTGGAAACTGGAAAGAAGGTGAGTTTTGTGCCATCCTGCTGTCACAAAAACTAGAAAAGAACAGATTGTAAAAAGATAGTTATCAGGGCTGGAGAGATGGCTCAGAGGTTAAGAGCACTGGCTGCTCTTCAGAGGTCCTGAGTTCAATTCCCAGCAACCACAGGGTGGCTCACAACTACCTATAATGAGATCTGGTGCCCTCTTCTGGCCTACAGGCACACATGCAGGCAGAACACTGTATACATAATAAATAAATCTTAGAAAAAAAAAAGATAGTTATCAAACATTTCTGAGAAACCAAGTAAAATAAGGCTAAAAAGTGCATATTTGGTAGCATGGTCATCAATGATAGATGTTGGAATAGGGTGGGGAGACAAGGAAAATAAACAGAAGCATGGGAAGATGTAATGAGTTTTTGTACAGTCAGACGGCTCCTGAATGATGACACAGAGACTTTATTAATTATAAAAGTTTGGCCTTTAGCTTAGGCTTGTTAGGCTCTTATAGCTTAATTAATCCATATTTTTTAATCTACATGCAGCATGGCTCATTACCCCTTCATTCCTTCTCCTCTTTCTCTCTCTCCCTGGAAATCTCACCTATTCTCTCCTGCCTAGCTATTGGCCATTCAGCTCTTTATTACACCAATCACAGCAATACAATTCACACAGAGT